AGTAAAATTTCCCAGTGCTACAATATATTTTTAGAAGCAGTCGTATTTGGACTTACACGAGATATTTTACCAAATAATTGATTATGCATGTCTACAATATATATGTCTGTATATTTATATATTATTGAATCAAATACTTATAGTCCATTGCGACTTTTGTGTGAGTTTTTTGCATAATGAATCAAGTCTAGATAAATCAGAAAACATGATTTAAAAAAAATTATTGTTTTTGAAACCGTCGATTTAATAAGACGATCTAGATAATTTAGTGATAATAACCGGTACAAATATTGTTATAAACATATAATCGTTCATAATATGCATACATTTAATTTAAACGAAAAAGCTAATTTCAGTTTGCATCACGACCTGCCATTTTGATATTTTCGTATATCACTCTAACAACGTGACTACCGGCTCGGGAGTATAGAATAACCTTACAATTTATGTAAGCTTATTTGAATTCTTAATCGTAACTGTTATTGAACAAAAAGTCGTACGAAATATTTTTAAAAACTCAATTATTTCGATTGTAGTAAACAAAAACAACAATGCATATAGTTATATTTAATGAGCAATGCTATTACTTGAGTATGTTAAAGGCACGTGGCCCATGTAGCTTGACTTCTTGAAAACGTAAAAAAAGTAGTAGGCTTCTTACAACTGTGTATAATAAAATTGTACCTCACTTACCGGAATGTGTACATACTACCTTAATATGTTATCCCATGGCTGATAAACTGTGCAGCAACAATGAATACTCTGCAGATTTTAAAAATGTGCTTGATAGCTAAGGCATTTTACACCAACTGTATACATCACGAACACGATTGAATTGTTTAAAGATAAATTTTAAATACTTAGTGGATTAAAATAAATAAACACGAAAAACATTTAAATTTCACCTCATACAAATTCAATAAAATTAGACTGCACAGTAAAATCACTTTCGCCTCGATTTAACAGTTAGTATTTTCATTGTTTTCATCTGGTTTCACGAAATAAACTATTTTAAAATATAATTGTACTTGAGGACGGTTTGAGAGAGACAATGACATTTGGCTGCCTACCTTTAAATCGTCGTTAGCAATGAAGCAGCCATGGTGGAAGAAAATTTGAAACTGTCGGCGTACCCACTTTTCAACACGACTCTCCTGTAAATGGTAAAATGGAGGCTTGTAGGTTTAGTGCTACTAACTCTCTCTCTCTATCTTTTTCTCTTTCTTTCTTTCTTTTTCTCTCTCTTTCTCTCTCTCTCTTCTTATTGGTCGATAATATTATTCACTTTTCTACTGTGTGGAGCGCACAGTAGATGACACTTCAGTTACAATTGTGTTACTCTGTGGAAAAAGAGCACTACACAAAATTCGGTAGAACTGTGTTGTTGGACTAAATTTAAGATTAGGTCCATGGAAATCAGGAATAATATTTTAATGAGGATTCATATAACTGTTTAAATTTATCTTTTTGATATTTTAAAATAACAATGAATCCAACTATATTGCTTTTTTTTCAAATTTAACTATTAGCTTTTGATCATTTTATATAATTTTTTAGTGGTTACTTGAAGCAGCAGGTTGATAACATTGTTAAATAGTAACTGTTTTTGTTTAATTTCATGTATGTTATTTCTAACTACGTAAATAAAGAGCGACATCTAGTTATTCAAACTGGAAGTAGTATGTATTGGTCGCTTTCATACATATTACCATCAAGGTATGGCGTTCCGAGGTCTTATTATCGTGCCATTCTGCGCCTTCCATCACGACGCAACATTTGAGAGAGATGTGAGTACTACAGCGCCAAAGAGCCTATACAATGAAACGAAGTGGCCAAAGTTGAAGCTAAAATCTATCCCCCGCATCCACCTCGAAGTGAGACATACATATAGATATAGACATACGTATAAATATACATATGTACGTCAATTGATAAATGATTACCTATTTTGTCAGTTTTTCTATGTATTTATTCACGAATTGTACGTTTGGTCGCTGAAGCAACTGGAATGAAAATATTAAAATAAAAAATATATATTGTTTCACGAGTTTCTTGATGTTAATATGCTTTATATTTTACAAGCTTTTGAAATTCGCAGACAGACATGGCGGCGCGATGGAAGCGTTCCTGATTGGTCAATCAAAATGGATGCGCAACGCCAGACCTTATATTGTTACATCATGCGTATTACCATATAAGAGAGTTACCAGTGGCTCAGTAGTAGAGCATTTGTTATATATCTCTTCACATGTTCCGTTATCGCTGTGATAGCTCCTGGTGCTCAGATGTTCAAGTACTGTGCCATCGCAGTCAGTAATAAAAAATGGTACCAAAAAAATTAAATACTCTCAAACAAAGCATGAAATGTCGCATAACAAAGTCCAATAAGGTACCCAAAAGCCAAATGAATAATTAGATAACAATGAATCAGCACTTCAATGGCAAAGAAATTCCAAACAGACTTTTAGTCTTAAGAAATGGTGTCAATATGTTGGTAACAATTTTGAGACTTGAGATTGGCGTTGTTGTGTTAAAAAAAAAAAAGAAATGAGCTTTGATTTTTAGGAAAATTTATTTTTGGCGATTCCCTGGCCCACACTTACGAAAATTTTCGAAGGTGATTGCCAAATCACCGTAAGTTATCAGCAGAAATATTATTATTTCATAATTATAATTACAACAGTAATACTTAAAAAATAATGATATAAATAATATTAAAATATGATTAAAAAATGATATAAATATAAAATAATGTTAATAGTTATGATATTATTATATCCATTCCCATGTAATTCACTTTTTAACAAAAGTAAAAGGTTAGGTAAGTTTGATGTGTTTTTGTCGCAGCTTACGTTATGTATGGCATTTGTAGTATTATATTGTCTTGTACTCTTACATTAATAAATTAAAATCGGTTATATTAACTTTAGACTGGTACTAAATGCAAACCTTACAGTAAGTAAATTGATACCTTACTATGGCGTAAGTATCAGAATACGTTGAGAAATTATTTAAATCTTATTAATTTGAGGTTTGCACACAGTACCAGTCAAAAGTCAATATTAGTTTGATTTTGTGAGTGTAAAATTACAGGATAGTATAATACTTCAGTACTAATAATGATTTTGATACTGTGTGTTACACAAAAAGTAAGCTGCATTTATAAACGGATCAAAACTGGATCATTTACGGATTTTAATTTCAGAAGTTTACAAGGCTAACGATACATTAAGAAGTATAATTCATTGACACAGTAAAAAAAATTTATGTTATACGTGGATATCGTCACTCTAAAAAAAAATTCAGTTTTTTTTTTATATGTATTATAAAAAGTGAAATGAATTAAATACTTTTCATGTTATTAAGAATTACTCTATGTAGGTGCACTGTTATTCGATTTGTTGAGTAATCTAAGTTAGTGATATTATCTACAAGTAAAAACTATTATACTAATCCACAAAATACATGTACTCCTTAGAGAAAGTTTTTACCGTAAATTATTCTTTAACAAATGAAAAATTGAGATAAAAAATTTTTGTATTTTTTATAACAGTGATTCAAAATTTAAAAAGAAATATAGTAAACAAAAGTTTATAAAAACATAAATCTTTAAGAAAAGTTTTTACTAAAAAGTCTGATCTAAACTTTAGTTCAGCGTTCAATCATATCTGAAACTCATAACATGTATTCTCATACATCTTTGATAATATATATACATATACATATATGTATATATATACACACATTCACACTTTTTCATTCGATTTGTATGACAAAAGCTTTATAAGATGCTATCACAATTTATGTATTCGAAAATTTATGCATGTGTTTATTAAAAAATAGCTTTTATTAGATATAATATTTACTTGATACTTTTTAAATCTTGAATATTTAAAATAATTTGTTCAATCCAAGTTTGACTATAATTATGTACATTTGCCTTAATTAAAAAAGGATATTACTAGACTTGGTTAGTACGACTTTTATTAATATGATAGCTTGTGATGACAAAGAAATAGTACTCACTTATTTTTTGAAGGTACATCAGAAATCCACCAATACTACGAGTACTTTATCAGAGTATCCATCATCATAAAAAGTTTAAAGTTGATACGTACAGAAAAAATTAATACTTTTTCATACCAAAATAAAAATTTTTGTATCAACAATATAAATTGTCATTCAGGAAGTTTACTTGCTAAGAGAATTAACGTTAATATATTGATGATATTTTTAACAGAGATTAGTTAGTGTCTGAAAAACCTTCGATTCAAATTTCAAGTCGCTTTATGGCTTATAAAGTGAGATATTGATAATTTTATTATTGAACTTTTAACGTGCAGTCTTATGATAATCAGTACTGTTCTGATACATAACCTGCAATATCTGGATAATTGACGTCAAGATTTAATTGGAAATTTTTTTGGAAATAGCTAAAAACTTTGTGATTACGTAGCTGTAGTCTCATCTTTACTCATGGCTTATGGGATGATAAAATAATTCTCCTTCGATAGCTACCGTTAGTACGTCGCGTTATATATGTATATATAGTCATGCAGATTACAATACTGCTGATATTATGTGTTAAAAAGGTCAGGTACGAGTTAACTCCCTTCATGTACATAACCCCCAAACTTTGTACAACAGTAAATATCGATCTTTTTAAGAAGTTAAAAGATTATAATCATATGTTTCGCTAATTTTTAAACAAAATAGTTTAATAGAGAAATTTTTGAAGCAGTGAGAAAGCCACAATAAATGTAGACTTTTTGGACCCCCTTATACATTATGCTCACGTGAATATTTTAACCATCTTTGGTTTGTGTTTCTTGATTCTGTGTCTCCATGGACTTCATGAACGACAGATGACCTGATTATGTAGTGTAAATATCTTAAAAATTGATGTAATTATTAGAAAAGAAGATACACAAAAAAATTTTCTTGTTTTTTATTTTTGATCTTTTTTATTTTTCTAAAATCTTACATATATTTCTATAAACATTTACTTTCATTCAAATTCTTATTTAAAAGACTCGATGATATCAAACAAACTAATATATGTACCGACGACAAGACCAATGCAACCGAAAATTATTATAGTTATATCCTTCAAAAGTACGAATTTGCATGGTCCAAACTTATCTGGCCACAGTACGCATATTTCGATAATTGCAGGGAAAGCAATGCCCAGGGCTGACAAACATAGAGCTCCAAAAAGTGAGATGAACAGACCTAGTCGTGGTACTGAGATTGCCAAAATGACTGAAAAAATATAAAAACAATGCATTAGACTATAAATAGTTCTAATTTTTCGTTTAAACCTGGATTTATGTATAGAGTCGTGAGGGTTGTGAGGAAATAACATATTTTTTTATCAATTAAATCAGTGACGTACACATAGAAAAATAACATTAGTTTTTACCGTCCAAGTGACGGCAAAATTGTCATCAACGAATTGTAACTATGATTCCAAGTATAGTTTCACGGTATTTTCTTTTGTATAGCTCAAAATTTCATTTCAATTAAATGTATGTTTTACTATGAAGCTACAGTAGTTTCTTTTTATTAAGTAAGAAACGATATCAGACATCGATACTAGGCCCATAATATAAGTACCACGACAGATAATGTAGGAATACGTCCTTTTATATACAGTATATCGGGCCCACGCTGAGGGAGATGGCGTTAGGGCCGTCAATATATATTTCGTTGTATCTAAAGAAAGGTCCAAGGATATCAGAAATAATTGTTTTTTTCATTTAATTTACATTAAAATTAGTTTTTCAATCTGTTCTAGCTACAGGTATGATTTTATGAAATATTTGCGTGCTGGTAGGTACTTTTAACCTTAAAAAGTCTCGCTAAATGAGATCAATTTTTCTGATGAAAATAATTATGGTGAAGCCACAGTTAAATTAAAAATAAAACCTACTGATCACAACTTTACACTTGCTTTTACGATAAAAATTGATGTAACCTTTTTTTTTATATTTGACAAACAAATAAACTCATGTATACTGCATACTTACATGTACACACGCATTAATTATTTTTTAGACTACCACGAAACCAAAGATCTTAGGCTGAATGATTACTGTCAAAAAATCGATTCTGAACTGTCTCTCTATTACAGATTCTAAATGATGCTCTAGAAAGAAAAACAAAATATTTTGATACTTTTTTAATCAGTAGAGTAATTCTTACTGTTTTTTTACTTCATCAAAAGGCAGTTATAATATAATTGTGGGCATAGTTTTTACTTTTGATTTTTTATATTTTGTTCTTGGGCTTTTTATCAGATATTATCTACTCTTTTTTTTTTCTGTAAAAAATGTCACGCAAAATAATAACTTGATTATGATATAAAGATTTTTGTTATTTTTAATACGTTGTTTGTTCTGGAGAGCTCAATTAAATAACTACAGTGGAAAATAATAATAAAAAACAATGTGTTTCTATAAGATTTTGATATCTATTTGATATCAAACGTGTAAAACGCCGTTTTAAATACAAATAGGTTTTTACCTCTGTTGAAATAAGTCTGACGTCCATACTTTACAATGTCTGTGCAATCTAACTAGTTTTAGTTGATTAAAATGTAAATTAATACTTGCACCGATCTAGAAACTAGCCTACGTATGCACAATGGATTACACGTTAAAAAAATTTTTAAATAACCTTCACATCTCCTTAAATATACATATATAACACAACAAGTATATGATTTATGTGTTGTTACACTTTTTTTCTTTATATAAGGCTCTTTTGCGGAGCTGTTGATCCAAGAAAATTAATCAATAATCAATATTATACTAATTTCTACTAGTTTGTTATGTTGTACCAAAATCCGAATAGATAAGTAAAAATGAATAATTCGAAGTTTTGGGTTTTATATAGACAACAGTTTAAAATCTTGGGATGAAGTCATTCTCTTTATTCAATGCTTGCAGGAAGTTCTTTGACTACAACATTTACGTAAGACATTGAAAATAACTTTTTTAGTACTTGAATTATGTTGTTTTCTGTAAAACTGAATGATTGCTCATAATTCTGACAAAATCATGACTATACAAAAAGTTTTAAAGTTGAAAAGAATTTGATTAACTCTTTTTTTATGATCTTTTTAATCCACTGCTCTTCTAAAAGATAAGATGTTTGCAGCATCTACTCGAGATACGAGGCAGATTATATCTTTTGCGTAAGACAATTTAGTCTCCGAGCAAATGCAGAGGAATTTGCTTACCATCATTCAAGAAGTATCAAGAAGTTGTTGGTTATATTCGGCCAGTTGAATAAATATCTTTATACTTTATTAATTGTATGGAAACTTTTTGTGCATCTATTTTGTAAGAGAAATAATTGTATATGATTGTTTGATATAAGTAATAAGCAAGTCAAAATATAAGTGAGTACACACAATCTCATTCGTTTAAAAACTTTGAGTAGTGACATCAATTATTCTATGATTCATGGACATACATTGTAACATCATCATGATAGTAGATCTTCTTTGCAATAGTTCCAACAGATTTAAAAGGTTCTGTATGAGATATAAAAATGATATGATTATGTTTTTGTGATAAACTCTGTTGTCACGAATGGGAATGAGTGTTTATAATTTATCCAAACAAAATTAATGTTACGATATGACGTCTTTTTTGTCGAGAGGAAATCATGAAAAATATCACTTAGTAAGATCTCATATTATTTATTTCATAAATTACTTTGGATAATTTTGATTTGCTATAAATATTCAAAAAATTTCTTACGCTTAGTGGCGTGTTGGCTAAGGTTTTTATGTTGTAATATTTTTATTAACAAATAATAAAATTTTTTTAGTAATCTTTTAAGAAATTTTACTAGTAATTAAAATAATTGACGTATCCTTACGTTAATGTAATAACATAAAAACCAGCTCTTAAAATTATAATGACTCATTAAAATTACAATTCTAGTCCTATACTAATCATTCTTGGAAGAAATTACCCTGCAAATCTTCTTGTCTGTAATAAGAACAATATTCTAAAAATTAATGATGATTCAACCTCGTTTAAGGTGCTCTGCTCTAAAAATTAGTGCTTATAACAGCTCTTCACTAATTAATGTTTTGAAAATTTTTAGAGAAATAATTTATTTATTACTAATAAGAAATTTTCTCCCTATGCTTGAAAGTTTTAGAAAAATTTCGTAACGGGTCAAAAAAATTCGTATGTTTCCTTCAATCATAAGCAATTTAAATCGTAAAATCCAAAGCAAGCAAAACTAATGGTCAATGTGATAATGTCAACTCTTTATACACAAAAGATACAAACTGATTTATCAAAAAAGTGTTTATTATAGTAACTCATATAAAACTACTGCTAGATGGGCTACCTCTCGACAGCAAAGCATCATTCACCTTGAGATAATTTTATTCTATAGTTTTCTACAATAATTTTATAATTGTTATCACTAATGCTTTTCAAGGAAAACAAGTTTCAAAATGACGATTGATAAATATGTATTTTCTCAAAGTATGTTTATATCAAAGATGTGAAAGAGTTAAGACCTTAAGCTTTACGGAGGGATCACTTGAAGTTTTTGGTTCCTGATAGTTTTCTAATGTTGTGGTGTCTTAATAAAAAGCAAGAAAATAATCTTGTAAATGTTATAGCACATTGTATTGAAATAAACGTACACGGTTCATTTTAAAATCATCCAACCAAAAAAAAACTCTCATGCAACATTAAAGATATACTTTCAAACTCTTTTATTTTAGCTGTATCTTTGTAAATAAAAAAAAAATTTTGTTACTTCATTAAGTTTTAAACTTTCGTACAAACATGCCTAAATTTTCTTTAAGCATTTCTGTTACGACTTATTTTTAAAAATTATAAAAAAATTTCATAGTTATAAAGTAAAATAGCTCAAAAATGATGGTTTTGGAAAATTTGAAAAGAGAAAGAGTTATAAAGGTGTACGAATAGAGAAGTAAGGTGATTTAGAAGCATCAACGTCATACTTTTCCGATTTTAGCTATACTGTTATAAAAACGAAGTAAAAGTTTTCAAAAAAGCTATACCAGGTTAACGATACTATTATAAATCTGTACAGTTTATTTTGAAACAATTTTGTGATCATACAAAATTATTCTATAGTTCATTCTTAAGGAAAAAGCAAAACAGGCTAAAAGTAACAATTCTGACAGTTTTCTGAAAAGAAAACAAAAATATTAAAACCCAAAAACCAACAGATGTTTATCAATAGTATGCATAATTTAAGCTTATTTTTTTAAGTATTATTTAAAGTTAAAACATACGTTGGTGATATTGTACAGCTTTTTTAAAAAGTTTCTTGTCCACAGCAAAGAATAATTTTACCAAAATTAACCAACCACTGTACTTCTTGAATCATTACTTTTGAAAAACCTCATTATTAGCTCATTTCGATTAAGTCTTTGAAGTTTTCGTACGTGAAGTAAGTTAATTTGAGTCATAACGAATGCAAATTATAAAAATTTGTTTTCGAACAAACTATTTCAGTATATGAAAAATAAAAGATTAGTATAGCTTAAATGAATTTTGAATTGTTTGAATGACTAGATAAAATAATGCACATATGCTTGTTCAAATTAATTCAGAATATGGTTAAAGTTTGTTCCCTATTGATTAAGTGGAATGAAATAAGAATTACAAGTTGGACTCCACGTCAAAGAATTTCGTCGTATAATTAGTATAAAACTTTAATATTTTGCAGGTTCTTTTAACAAGTATTGATAATATTGACAAAAGTACTGCTTATCACCTCTTACAACCCTGGCTTAAAACAGGATTATTGACTAGCACAGGTATATATTTACACGTGTTTTGTTAAAAGCTTTCAAAAGCTTGGATTTTTTTAGGTTCCCTAACTTTTATAGCTTACGAAAAGATTAATTTATATGTTTTACTTAGTCCCAGTTTTATAATTATATATTTTTTTTGACAATTAAATGTATTTCAGGTAAAAAATGGCAAGAACGAAGGAAAATTTTAACACCAGCTTTCCATTTCAATGTGCTAAAAAAGTTGATGGNATTTAATCATTTAGTCCTTAGAGACTATACTGTTATACTGAAGCTGACGATGATAAAATCATAAAAATAAATCATGAGAAACTTTTTATCTCAATAGTTGTTTCTAATTTTTATGAAGTTTCATACCACACGATTTCAAAGTTTTAATTCTGATGAAAATCCTAATACTAACCCGCTACGTTTTTCAATTTAGCATTTTCGGAAGCCGAGATACAATCAATTTATTGCTTTTGTAATTCTAGCCAAACTTGAATAAACAGTGATATAAAAGAATATGTACTTATTTTTCAAGTGTAATTTTTTTTAAGATACCTTGTATAAGTTTCGAAACAAAAATATTTAAAAATGGCATTTTTTAAGGTTACGTCAGCTCTGTGCTTTCATATCCCTTTCCTCAAAAATGAGTTTCTATTTGTTAACAACGATGAAGCACTCGAAAAAGAATCTGTCCCAGCAAAAAAGCTAAGATAAAAATTAATTGTTGTAATTTGTTCGCTTGCGCTGGTTTTGCAGGTCTGATAGATAGTATAATAGTTAATGTTGAAGGATTTTCTGACTACTTCACTACGAGGAGATAAAAATTTATATCTTACTTTCAATAAATTATGTTCTTGATTAATTAAAGATTTTTCGATATCATCACATTCATGTCAATGAAAGTTTGTCTCAGAGCGTTTTGTCACCATGCTAGTAGTGTGTAGTAGTAGTAAAGGTAGAGGGGTCAACGACTAAAGGTCAGCAAGGTCAACGAAGGCTTAGAAAATGCAATGTTCATTTTTTTTTTTTTTAACCTGTACAAGATATCTGAAACAAATTTCTGTACGTGATAATTTTACATTCAAAGAATCTAAGAGCTTTGATAGCTCAGTGACTAGCGTGTTAGTCTCCTAGTCGAAAAAATTAATAAGTAAATCAATTTTCCCAGCTTAAATTCATTTTATGACTATTTTTGCAAGTTTTTACAAAAATTTTAAATTAGGAACACATAATTTTTTCTCTAAGGGCTCACAATTAGCAAAAAAAAGTGTTTTGGTAGAGTCTAGACAAAAAAACTGTATAACAAAGTAACATATTTTCTTTCAAAAGTAGTAATAACATTGTTCGTTTAATACAAGATGATTATAAATAAAAATTTTGCAATTTGGTCCTGTTATGGAAGTACCTGGCTTGCTAATTTTCTATATTGACGTATCCTTACGTTAATGTAATAACATAAAAACCAGCTCTTAAAATTATAATGACTCATTAAAATTACAATTCTAGTCCTATACTAATCATTCTTGGAAGAAATTACCCTGCAAATCTTCTTGTCTGTAATAAGAACAATATTCTAAAAATTAATGATGATTCAACCTCGTTTAAGGTGCTCTGCTCTAAAAATTAGTGCTTATAACAGCTCTTCACTAATTAATGTTTTGAAAATTTTTAGAGAAATAATTTATTTATTACTAATAAGAAATTTTCTCCCTATGCTTGAAAGTTTTAGAAAAATTTCGTAACGGGTCAAAAAAATTCGTATGTTTCCTTCAATCATAAGCAATTTAAATCGTAAAATCCAAAGCAAGCAAAACTAATGGTCAATGTGATAATGTCAACTCTTTATACACAAAAGATACAAACTGATTTATCAAAAAAGTGTTTATTATAGTAACTCATATAAAACTACTGCTAGATGGGCTACCTCTCGACAGCAAAGCATCATTCACCTTGAGATAATTTTATTCTATAGTTTTCTACAATAATTTTATAATTGTTATCACTAATGCTTTTCAAGGAAAACAAGTTTCAAAATGACGATTGATAAATATGTATTTTCTCAAAGTATGTTTATATCAAAGATGTGAAAGAGTTAAGACCTTAAGCTTTACGGAGGGATCACTTGAAGTTTTTGGTTCCTGATAGTTTTCTAATGTTGTGGTGTCTTAATAAAAAGCAAGAAAATAATCTTGTAAATGTTATAGCACATTGTATTGAAATAAACGTACACGGTTCATTTTAAAATCATCCAACCAAAAAAAAACTCTCATGCAACATTAAAGATATACTTTCAAACTCTTTTATTTTAGCTGTATCTTTGTAAATAAAAAAAAAATTTTGTTACTTCATTAAGTTTTAAACTTTCGTACAAACATGCCTAAATTTTCTTTAAGCATTTCTGTTACGACTTATTTTTAAAAATTATAAAAAAATTTCATAGTTATAAAGTAAAATAGCTCAAAAATGATGGTTTTGGAAAATTTGAAAAGAGAAAGAGTTATAAAGGTGTACGAATAGAGAAGTAAGGTGATTTAGAAGCATCAACGTCATACTTTTCCGATTTTAGCTATACTGTTATAAAAACGAAGTAAAAGTTTTCAAAAAAGCTATACCAGGTTAACGATACTATTATAAATCTGTACAGTTTATTTTGAAACAATTTTGTGATCATACAAAATTATTCTATAGTTCATTCTTAAGGAAAAAGCAAAACAGGCTAAAAGTAACAATTCTGACAGTTTTCTGAAAAGAAAACAAAAATATTAAAACCCAAAAACCAACAGATGTTTATCAATAGTATGCATAATTTAAGCTTATTTTTTTAAGTATTATTTAAAGTTAAAACATACGTTGGTGATATTGTACAGCTTTTTTAAAAAGTTTCTTGTCCACAGCAAAGAATAATTTTACCAAAATTAACCAACCACTGTACTTCTTGAATCATTACTTTTGAAAAACCTCATTATTAGCTCATTTCGATTAAGTCTTTGAAGTTTTCGTACGTGAAGTAAGTTAATTTGAGTCATAACGAATGCAAATTATAAAAATTTGTTTTCGAACAAACTATTTCAGTATATGAAAAATAAAAGATTAGTATAGCTTAAATGAATTTTGAATTGTTTGAATGACTAGATAAAATAATGCACATATGCTTGTTCAAATTAATTCAGAATATGGTTAAAGTTTGTTCCCTATTGATTAAGTGGAATGAAATAAGAATTACAAGTTGGACTCCACGTCAAAGAATTTCGTCGTATAATTAGTATAAAACTTTAATATTTTGCAGGTTCTTTTAACAAGTATTGATAATATTGACAAAAGTACTGCTTATCACCTCTTACAACCCTGGCTTAAAACAGGATTATTGACTAGCACAGGTATATATTTACACGTGTTTTGTTAAAAGCTTTCAAAAGCTTGGATTTTTTTAGGTTCCCTAACTTTTATAGCTTACGAAAAGATTAATTTATATGTTTTACTTAGTCCCAGTTTTATAATTATATATTTTTTTTGACAATTAAATGTATTTCAGGTAAAAAATGGCAAGAACGAAGGAAAATTTTAACACCAGCTTTCCATTTCAATGTGCTAAAAAAGTTGATTATTGCGTGAATTAAAAAAATGATTAGATTGATACCGAAATTATATTTGTTCCATTGATATTTTTTATTGTATATAAAAATGTACTTGTTTTACTTTTTTTTATAGGTGATCTTTCATAAATTGTATTAGGTACAATTATTAGTTCTAAAATTGTTACATTGTTTTTCTGAAAAACTGTCAATCCAAGTGTTGCCAGCTATTTAAAACTACTTCAAAAAAAGCATCAAGGAAATCATCGACGAAATTATAGAGAATATTTTCAAAAACTGTACTCCATTTTAATTCTAACATGGTAAACAAATACGTTCTTCGAGGAATCCACAAGTGAAGAAGATTCTTTAAAATTTTTACCCATGAATTTCTGATGTAGTTTACATCGTTTGCTAAATTTTAAATGGAATTAAGGTTACACGGTAGATTTTAATGTCAGCAGCACTTCGATGGATGATTTTTTTATTGTACAAACAAATTCAATAACCAATTAATCCACCTAAATTAATTCACAAAAGTTTAAAAATGAATCAACTTAAATAGAAATAAAATCTTACCCCTGAACAGTTTACAAATGAACAGAACCAAAATAATTCTAATAAAAATCAAATATTTAAGTTGATACAACAACTTCTCAAAATTATTTACAATTTTTACTTGTTATTTTAAATTGATTATTTTTTTTCTTTGCGCTATGTTTATGAATCACTTTTTCTTACAGAATGTGCAGTTACTATTTAATCGTGATTAAGTATTTTTCTTTAGAATTACCCCGATATACTTTGATATTTCGAGATTCTCATGTCTGCCTTGTACGTCACGAATGATTTTCTCAGAATTTTCTGAACAAATTTTGCTACTACGTATTTTGAGAATACTTCCAGAGCACGTAAAAAAAAGTTGCAATTGTATAAGTGTGCATTTTACTACAATTTTTTTGCTAGAAATAAATTCAATTTAAAAAAGTAAATAAATAAAAAAAATCACTTCTAGGGGGGGGGGATAGAGGTGTTGCATGAAAAAATTTCTTATTTTATTTTATCCAAAAAGCACAATTTCAGTTGTTGTTTACTATTGTATTTACAAATTTTCATATGTGTTTGTAGAAAGACTGTGGACCAGGGTCTAAACAAATGCCATGCTTATCGAAATAGTGTTACTTGTTCTATTCTTGATTGGTGTTTTTCATTATGTCACACGATATGGTAGAATTGGAAAACTGGTTGAAGATATACCAGGAATACCAGCTTGGCCCATAGTTGGAAATTTACCGCATTTGATGGGTCTCTCATCAGGTAGTAGTGCATCCTATTATTGTTCCACTTACATTTTGTGATTTTTTTTTTTTTCAANAGAGCTATGTTATTTGAGAAAAAGTTATAAACTTTTTATAAGGGTGAGATACGCATGGTTATAGAGAATTACGTATAATTGCGAGTTCGAAACTCTAAAAAAGTATACGATAAATATATAATTTTTTTTTTCTTTTCTAATAAATATCCTTGCACACGGTTTTAATCATAACATCTATATCCCAACTTGATTACCTAAATCGGTTGAAATAAATACTATGTAATACATACATAAAATAGTAGTGCATCCTATTATTGTTCCACTTACATTTTGTGATTTTTTTTTTTTTCAAACAACGGTGTGGTGAACAAATTTTTACTTTCGAATACATACTATTAACCAATTTCATAATTTTGAAGAGGAAGCATGGAATGTATTCAGAAAACTCAACAACGACTACTATCCAATATTCAAGTTTTGGACGACACATGAAGTCGTTATAAATATACGCCATCCAGATGATGTTGAAGTAAGTCTAACTTTTTTTATATGATGTATCTGCAGTATATAGATTGAGTATTTATCTCATTATTTATTCTTAGCTGCGAAATATTTGTGTGTTTGTAATACTAAATCTGAATCTTTTAAGATACCATATTTATCATATAGCAAGTATTATGTCAAGTAATTCGTTTCTTAAAATTTAATCATTTAGTCCTTAGAGACTATACTGTTATACTGAAGCTGACGATGATAAAATCATAAAAATAAATCATGAGAAACTTTTTATCTCAATAGTTGAGTTTGAATATTAAAAACAACGAATACTAGCCAAGTTCTCCTGATAATATCATTTTTATGATAGCTAAAAACAATGTACTCAATTAAGGAATTTTACATATCTTTTCAAAAGGAAACTAAAACGAATTAATTAAGTTTAAGGCAATTACTGTTCCTAATCATACATTCAATCATATTACAATGCAGATTATGTAAATATTGATTCAACAATGATGTCTATATTAAGTACTAATTTAGTATCATTTTTATTGTTGCTATAATATATTCGAATTATCTGTAACGTTTAATCAAAGTAACATAGTTGAAGAATAAAATTATATTACGATTTTTGACAAGTAGTTTTTTTCAGAATGAAATATTTACTTTTGATTTTAAAATAAAAAAGATAGTTAGTATAAAAAAAAATATATATATAAGAATTATGAATAATAATAAAGTAGCTTATGATTTTAGTACAAGACATTTTCGTGTGATTCGCTTTACATTTTAGGTTTTAAAACAGGTTTATTCCGTATGAAAATTGCATGGCTTGGTTTAGCTGAATAACTACGAAGATCTTTGAACTTTTTTTTATAAGAACTGAATATTCATCAAGCAGGAATTAGTAATTTCTTATTAAGAATTATTAACTAGAATAAGTATTATTTAAAGTTAAAACATACGTTGGTGATATTGTACAGCTTTTTTAAAAAGTTTCTTGTCCACAGCAAAGAATAATTTTACCAAAATTAACCAACCACTGTACTTCTTGAATCATTACTTTTGAAAAACCTCATTATTAGCTCATTTCGATTAAGTCTTTGAAGTTTTCGTACGTGAAGTAAGTTAATTTGAGTCATAACGAATGCAAATTATAAAAATTTGTTTTCGAACAAACTATTTCAGTATATGAAAAATAAAAGATTAGTATAGCTTAAATGAATTTTGAATTGTTTGAATGACTAGATAAAATAATGCACATATGCTTGTTCAAATTAATTCAGAATATGGTTAAAGTTTGTTCCCTATTGATTAAGTGGAATGAAATAAGAATTACAAGTTGGACTCCACGTCAAAGAATTTCGTCGTATAATTAGTATAAAACTTTAATATTTTGCAGGTTCTTTTAACAAGTATTGATAATATTGACAAAAGTACTGCTTATCACCTCTTACAACCCTGGCTTAAAACAGGATTATTGACTAGCACAGGTATATATTTACACGTGTTTTGTTAAAAGCTTTCAAAAGCTTGGATTTTTTTAGGTTCCCTAACTTTTATAGCTTACGAAAAGATTAATTTATATGTTTTACTTAGTCCCAGTTTTATAATTATATATTTTTTTTGACAATTAAATGTATTTCAGGTAAAAAATGGCAAGAACGAAGGAAAATTTTAACACCAGCTTTCCATTTCAATGTGCTAAAAAAGTTGATGGAAATTATTACTGAGAACTGTGAAAAAACCATTAAATCCTTGAAATTAAACAATAGAGATGAATCTGTTGATGATCTTCTACAATTCACTGCAAATCATACTTTAAATATTATATGTGGTAAGTTGCAAATATCATCAAGTTATAATACCCCTTACACGATTTGAGTTGACTGTTAAAATATTTAACATATCATATACCACTAGTGCACTAGTGTCATCTTGAGAAAGATAAGACAAGAAGTAGTTACACAATTTTTTAATTTTTATGGAAATCAAATTTTTTTCGGAGTTGTATTTGACAAAGTTTTTACATAATCATGACTTGAAAATACTATGCTAATAGACAAAGAATATTTTAAAAATCATATTTTTAAATGTAAAATCATGTGCAATATTTATTGTTAAATTTTATTTTTTACTCATGCCTTAAAAATATCCTTGTCACATTAACGACGATTTATTACTATTAACGTTGTATAACGATTAAGGGCTTTGTAGATCTCTTGGGTCAAAAACTAGTAGCAAACATGATTTTTTCTACTGAGGGTGTAGTAAACTTGCAAATATCACGAAAAATGCTCCGAGGTAGAAAAATAATAATTCCATCCTTATGAATGTATACTTACAACAACGAAAAACTCTTTGAACTTTTGAAAACAAATTTGTACACTTTCTTTCAGCATTAAACACATTTTAGGGAGCAGTTTTTTATTTTTCTTTCTTAAAAATTCGATTGTTTTTTAATATGCTTAATCTGACGTATCAATAGAGAAGAAACTGTAATCTCATACTTTCAGTTAGCTATTATCTACTTCAAAGATAATAAAGATATGTTTAATAGCTGCTATGATTCTCAAACAGTGTTCTAATGCTATCAATGTCAAAAACTGATTACGTTGCAGTTAAAATAATTTATCAAACAAAAATTACATTCATAATATGTAGAAAAGAATACAAGATTAAAAAACTAGAAATTGTAATAAATAACATGTACTGTTTGCTAAAATATTAAAACTCTAATATCAGTGTTTTTCGGTTTTAATCATAACATCTATATCCCAACTTGATTACCTAAATCGGTTGAAATAAATACTATGTAATACATACATAAAATTAAAACTCATGGAACTTAATGTTAAATGTTAACTACGAGAGCATGGACAGATTAATTGTACAATACTGTCTAAAATTGTGTTATACATTATACTAAATAAAAGATAATGAAATATTGAATGTAAATCAAAAGTCTTTACTTATATTTTTAACTCAAATAAGAAAATTAAAGTTCTATAGTACCATTTTATTTCAGAAACTGCAATGGGCGTATCATTAGATCAAAAAAAAGATTTTCAAAAAAAATATAGAGATTCAGTTCATGAGATGGGTGAGATCATGCTTTATAGGTACAACGTTATAAATCATAATAATATTTACAAGTATCACAATGTTAACCTTACATGAGTACAGTAAAATAAAAACTATCTAAAATTGGTGTCTCTTGTAGAATTGCACGGCCATGGTTCCGTAATGAACGTATCTTTAGCTTTACAGAAAAAGGTAAAGATCTAGCAAGACATTTAAACGTATTGCACAATTTTTCGAAAAAAGTAAGCCATAAAAATAAGTTTTTTTTTTAATGAATGCAGATATAAAAAAATTTTTTTTATTTTGTGCAGATCATAAAAGAAAGAAAAGAATATCATACTAAGACAAATGATTGTTATCTATGTGAGTTAGAATTGAAAGATTCAACAACTGAAATGGATGTTAATATGTTTGGATGTAAGTACGCATGGTTAATAAATTTAACCAATATATTTTAATGTGCTCAGAATTATATTTTTCTAAGTTATAGTTGGTAAGCAAAATTTAATAATCAAAAAAATCAAAACAAACTGCCATAAAGGAATCGAATATTTAATAAATTTTTTTCTAAATATTTTTTACCTACAGTTCAGAAAAAACGTATGGCGATGTTAGATCTGCTTATTTCATGTTCTAAGACAGGATCGCATATAGACGATCAGGGAATCCAAGAAGAAGTGGATACTTTTATATTTGAGGTATGTTGATCGATCTAAATTTAGGTAATACATCAGTATCATAAGAGGAGTTGTCATTTTGTATTTCTAATAAATAATCATTGTCAACCAATTTTTTTTTTTTTTAAGTAAACAATTACTGACTGAATTTATTTGAAACCAATGAAACTAAAATTAAAAAAGAATTAAAAAGGCAAAATATTATTATTATTTATTTTTATTCCTTAAGTTATATTGACTTATACGTACTAAGTAATAACGTAATGCACTTTTAGGGTCATGACACCGTGGCAATGGGTTTAAGTTTTTCCCTTCTACTATTAGCTGAGAATAAAAGTGCTCAGGTAACTATAAGAAATTGAAAAAATTATACGTCAAATGTTTCATGCTCTTCTCTAAACTCCTTTACTTAAAAATTATTTTTACCATTACTTTAGCACACAAAGTTTTATTACATTTTTTCAGTTTAAAGATCAAATTATGTAACGACGTAATCATATTTAAACTTATAAGTAAAATTTTAGTTGTCAATAAAGATTTTTCTAAAATATCTGTTATAAAACCTTATACATGAAATACCTTTTTTTCCTTTAATAATTAGACTGTCACTTTTTTCTAGTTTCTAATAACTGAATTTATAAAATTAATAAGGACACGGAAATTTTCTAATCCTTTATTCTTATTGAGAAAATTAAATGCCATTCATTTATTATAGAGAGTTTTTCGAACAATGTATTTATCTCGAATCATTTACTAAAAGTGAAGTGATTGTTATCGAAAATCATTTTGAAATCTCTTATGAAAACTAATCACTAGTACCTTTTAGACGCGTGCAAGAAATGAAATCAACGACTTATTTAAAAAAAATGATGGTAAAATAGGATTTTCGGACATGCAACAGCTCCACTATCTTGAAATGTGCATAAAAGAGTCTTTAAGACTTTATCCAAGTGCACCGTTTATATCAAGAAGAATCACTAAAGATTTGAAACTAAGTATGGAAGATTAATTTTCTTACATAATTTTAATTTGAAAAAAAGTATATTTAATTTTTTTAAACTGTAGAAAATCACATAATACCAAAAGGTGCTATAACTCACGTTCATATATATGACCTTCATAGAGATAAGAATTTTTGGTCTGAACCTGAGAAGTTCGATCCAGAAAGATTTTTGCCTGAAAATGCACGAGGACGTCATCCTTTTTCTTACGTTCCTTTCAGCGCTGGACCTCGTAATTGCATCGGTAATTAATAACTGTATTTAAGGTTTGCACTTTTTATCGATTTATCTTGTAACCGGGTTAAAATATTCACTTTTTTGATAATAATATTGTCTAGTTAAAAAATTGTTAATGATTATTTAAATAAGTCGGTTGTTGTATGGATTTAACTAATATCAGATTAAGAATTTCATGAAGTTTTTTTTATTGCACAGTAAATCAAATGTGTTACATCTTATTGCCAAAGAAATATGTATTCTTAGATATTGGGAGTATATTTTTTTTACCTCGTGATGTTTTTTATGACATTTAAATGATTACTGTGCCACTGGTAGAAAAAGTTATTTATTCAGTGTAATTAGTAAGAAAAAAGAAAAAAGATCTTAGGTTTAGGAGTTATTACGATTTATTGATTATTAAAAGACTTTTTTTTTTATTATAGGGATGTCAAAGTTCTGGGATTGTTACCAAAGTAACTTAATTCTTTAACATAAGTAAGGCTTAATTATTTTTTAAATCATCCCGATGAGCTACTTTTAAAATAAAAAAAATAAAATAACACTTCTTGTAAAATTAAGTCATATCTGAAGAGTACATCAACAATTTTTCATGATCCAAGACTTTAAATTTATATTTTTAATCGCGACAGAAGCTTTTCAATAAAATTCTAGTTTCATACCTCATTGAGTTGGGTACAACAGTTTTTGATTTTTAAAAATTAGATTTCTTATTTTTTTGGTAAAAAATTTCTAATGTGATTTAAGAATTTATTTTTTTTATACACCATAAAAACTACTAGTTTTGCTATTTTTATTTAATCATATCTTAAGATGACGTTAACGGATTGTATTGATCAAGGGACATTACACTTATATTTAAATGATTATAGCAGCTNCTATTAGAACTCGTGCAAAAATTTCATCAGTTTTTCGGTTCAGAGATTTTTTTATACATTTTTGTCCTAGTAAACAAAGTTACATTAAAAACTGACTGTTAATTTCATAAAGTTTAAATCTACGTTGTTACAAAATCAAAGGAAACTAGGGCTCATGTTCATTGTGTCATTTGATGTGCTGAAATTGAATTATTTTGCAGTTGCTTCATGACAAGGGTCATAAAAAGTTTACTCACATGTGACCAAACTCAGTTTTGCTATTTTTATTTAATCATATCTTAAGATGACGTTAACGGATTGTATTGATCAAGGGACATTACACTTATATTTAAATGATTATAGCAGCTCAGAAATTTAAATGCAGTTTTGCATTGTATAGCATAGAAGTAGCTTTATGTTTTTGTTGCAATAAAATTAATAAAAGCTGTATTTGTATTAAAAATTAGAGAACCAGTCTTCACCCATCTATTATTGTCAATATTTCTTTACAATTTTAAAAGTTTTTTTATTTAAAAATATTTTCAGATAATAATAAATTTTCATTAGAATAAATACCATATATTACTTCAAACTAAAAAAAATTTGTTCCAGATTTTTTATTACAATTATTTTCGAGTTTATTCGTTTATACTTTCTTAAAATTATTATATAAAAAATGTTTCTTTCACTGAAAATCCAACTATTTTTTGCACATTGACAAGTTAAAAATAATGAATACATTGTTAAGGCTGTATTTTCAGTACCTAATGTACAGTTCAGATGTGAATGAAATTTTACTTACAAGTGAATGTTAACTTTAAAATAAGTAAGTACAAATTTCATAGAGCTATGTTATTTGAGAAAAAGTTATAAACTTTTTATAAGGGTGAGATACGCATGGTTATAGAGAATTACGTATAATTGCGAGTTCGAAACTCTAAAAAAGTATACGATAAATATATAATTTTTTTTTTCTTTTCTAATAAATATCCTTGCACATTATGAAATCTAATCTAGTATTTAAGGTTGACGACTACAAATCCAATCTCAGAAATTCGAAAATTGTTTTATGAAAGATTTTTCAAAGTTTACTTTTGGTAAGGAACCATACACCAGAGTTTTAAAGGTTGTTAATTGGCCAACCGTATAAAAAGTTTTTTGCAATTCATGACATACTCTCGCAAAACATAAACTTTTTATCATCTGTTCAATTTCAGACCTCCTCTTGCCTTCTTTTAAAAATTTACATTTAGTTCTATTTACAAACTATTTATACTGTTTTTATCAGCTGATTTGTTTCACCTCTTATACAGTTCGTGCTACATTCCACGAGTAGTTTGGAAATGTCGGAATTATGTTAAGCAAGAATATAATAACAAGTTGGTTTTGAAACAATTTAAAAAATTTTAGGTTAATAATTCGAGGCACTGAAAAGAAATTATTTCTGCGTTGTACAAAAAATAATGGCTGAAAGTATCCTAAATATTTATTCCAGCCAAATGACTATAATTATTCAAATAACTTTTTCTACTTCGAATGCAAATACCAAATTCTATTTTGAGTACCTTTGAAATATGGATAGGTAACATTTTGATTTACAAAAATCATGTAGGACTTTTTTCAAGGGTACCCAAAGAAGAATTTAGTTTTTGGCAGTACTGATACCATAGTTTCTCTACAAGTTTTAGCTTTATAATGCTTAATGCATATAGTGAATGAAGTATACTTTTAAGGTTTTCATTGAGCAGGTTCATATTCTTGCAGGTCAAAAATTTGCCATGATGGAGTTAAAAACGACTATTGCTTACATTCTGCACAACTTTATATTAGAACCAATCGATTTTGCTCACGAAGTGCCAATAAAAGCTGATATAGTGATTCGGCCATCCAAACCACTTCGCTTGAGGCTTATTTCTATACGTAACAATGAATGAAAAATGGTCAAGTATAACCTTTCAGGTTTTTTTTAATTTAATTTATTTTTTGTTAATTTTGCTGAATAAGCTGAAAAAATCTTTTAAAGAATCAAATAAAAATCTGCGTTAAAAGTAAAAAAATGGATCTTTTTTTATATCCAAGTACGCCTTACAACAACTTTTGAAGATGTATTATTATTGAAAAGTGTTTAACATAGAATTAAAACGTAATAAAATAACTTTTTGGTTTTAAATTTCCGAATTTTGACATGGACTAACTTAAATTTGTATGGTGGTTGCAATCAATAGTAAGGCATAACTATGTCCATGAAACAGTTAACTTGAAACTTAGATCTTATTGTTAGCGCTGTCAGAAATAAAAAGTGAAAAGTAAGAAGAATTGCTTAAACAATCTAGACTTTTACGTTAAATCTCAATACATATTTTAAGACCATATTTTTTAACAACGTATTTTGATTAGTTTCATAGTAGTAACAATGCTTTTAACAATATATTTTTTCCACTGATATAAGGTTTTACCTTATAGGAAAAATATATTATCTTTCGGGGCAAAAGTTGAAACATAATTTTCATGTGCAACGAATCAGTAGTTGGTGAGTGGTTATCGTAAATAATAAAATAAATGAAATCAAATGTACAGAACGTTTTTTTAAGCATTGGAAGATAAAGATAATTTCGTTTTTACAAATGGATTAAATTTAGAAATTATAATCATCGATGTATATCATATTCTCTAAGATGTATATGGTAGTTTATATATGAATTTATAAGTTCTTATCTGAACGCGTTTTAATAAATTAAACTGAAGCTGATAGTATCTTCTTTGTGATTTATTACAAAATTTTTATTTAAAATAAACAATGTTTCTAAAATAACGTGCTTCTTTTATTTTTTCTCTGTTTTTCTAACATTGCCCAATAATAACTTCATATTCGTATAATTCATTGGTTTTTGAAAATCTTATAGGTTGGCATTCAAAAATCTAAATTTTAGTTAAAAGATCTAGAAAAATTTACACGACAATTTTTTAAAAATGAAAAATTTTAATTCTTAGGATTGAGGAAAATTAAAAAAAAAATTTTGTGTGCTTCACTCAACTACTAAATCACTAAATCACATTGCGTATAAGCGCATAATCGTTGTAGATCATGACGGAGTACTTTATACCGTTAAACTGTATTTTTATTACCTAAAATTTTTACCGGAATGTTATGGTAATTTATCACCTAAGTTATTGAATGATGCAAGTATCTACACTTACTTTATATGTTACCGACTTTTGGCGTCATCCAAAAATCATCGTGATTTTGTGGTTAAAGTTATAACTAATTAATCTAAAGTTTTCTGTAGTAAAGAAGTTAAAGTTAAAATACGCTAAACATCATAGTGAAAATTCGTTTGTCTAGAATTAGTTGTTGCCATCTTTAAAGTACCAAATCAAGTTGTTTTTAAATACATGTAAAGTTTGGCTTATCACAATGGGCGCTTAACGTTTAAATATCGGGACGTACGCATTTCCCCGTTAAATAACTTCTAACTAATATCCACTACTATGTCATGTCAATTCTGATAGCATCAAAACTATTAAAAGTTTTATTATCTTCTTGAAAAGTTATACTTCAATTAATTGAAAAAATACATCTTAAATATTTGTGCAAGTAGTGATTTTAAATAAATTGAGGATAAAAAGTCAACAGGAAATCATTTCATTGTGTCATTTGATGTGCTGAAATTGAATTATTTTGCAGTTGCTTCATGACAAGGGTCATAAAAAGTTTACTCACATGTGACCAAACTCACGATGGTTCTGCACACGTATTCCCAAAACAGTTTGTTTTCCTTAATATGGTGATCGAGATAAGTTGACCACATTATTTCAACAGGTACGTACGCTTGTAGCGCATAAGTGATGAATATTGAGACAGCAAACATAACTTTAATACATTGAGCCATCCTGTTGGAACGTAAATAATGTAAATTTAGTATTTATGTTGTAATGTACGTATAGCTAATGGGGGTTTAATGGTGACGTATTAATATTTATTCTGAAATTTTTAACAAAAGTGGAAAGTCTTTCAATGAGTCGAAAGTTTTAATCAATGAAGCCTATAAAAACTCAACATTTCAATCTGGTTGGTTTTATAAAAATTGTTTTCACATTCTACCGTAAGTAATAGTTCCTGTAATATTCGATTTAAGAGTCTCACACAGCATCCATAGGTAAGTTTAATGTGATACTGCCAGCAGCTTCGGGCCCATATTTAACATATCCAAAAAATCCAACAATAATGTACAAAATGACGATCACAACCATTCCAATGTTAAGGACTCCGCATGTGCCACGAAAGTTTTGTGGTGTTTTCATATTGTTTTCCAGTGCAATTATCTGTAAAAATGAAACTTCTTAGCGTCAATATGGTAACAAGAGTATTATGTATTTGATCGATAATAATTTCTTGACGCAATAGTATCGATGCATAAATATCTAATAAGCAATAAATAAATCTTACAACTCCAACAGCTTCCAGAGCAAATAAAGTTGTTCCAAAATAGAGAGAAAAATTTCTCACGGATCCGAACATTTCCCTTTCAGAGATCGACGGTAGATCATTAAAAACATAAACTAAAATCATTCCTAATCCTACGAATGTAATAACGTTCGCAAAACTGGAAAATGGAGCCAGAAGTTTTAGATTGCGAATGTAGTTAATAATTATTAGTGGTACCAATAATATTAACATGTGTATTTTAACGTCCAATGGTGTTGTGTAATGATCGGCAACCTAAAAATATAAAATACTATATTAATTATATTAATATGTCAAGTACAATACACTTTGAATAGTTTTTAATACATATTTTCATATCAATCTAAATAAAAAAATATTTAACTTTTGTAAATTAACATTTTATGAATGTTTATATTGTACGATAGCTTAATAATTAAAAAAAATAAAATTCAAATATTATCTAAAACTATTATTGTTGTTATTTTGGAAAAATGTTTAATATGTTTAAAAGGGCTTTGAAACCAAAATTATTGAAAAAGTAACTTTATTTAATGCATCACTGCACATAACATATGATACCTATTGAGTTTAAAAATTCTCTTATGTTATCCGTTAAACAACAAATACGTAATTGTCTATAAATAGAAGTATAAAAACTTGTAAATAGAGCAAAATATTCTTACACCTGATGTCTTGAATATTTAGTATTATGATTTTATTGGTATAACTATTTAAAAAGCGTAGTCTGTTTTGAGGGATTAATAACAAACTAAACTTTTCTGAAGAAGATTATTTTATGATTAACAAAAAGTGTTAATAACTTTACCAAATAATTAATTCAAGGTATAAAATAAACATCATTTTGATCAAACAAAATGTTTTTTATCAAATGTCTGAATCAACTTGATTTATCATTATTATTATTGTTTTCCAATTTTTTTTACATGAAATATAAATAAAATCTCAGCATCAAAAAATGAGGCGATAAAGCTTGATGCATTTTTTCATCTGACCTACACCTTAAAATGAGCTTCATGTCATAAAGTACTACTCATACACTTTCTTAAAAATAGTAATGATTACAAAATTAGGTGAGAATTTTTTCAGTTACTTAAACTTTCGCATTTATACTTGAATATGTTCAACCTACTTTACATTGAAACTTATGTCTATTAGGGTTACAATTCGTGTCATTATAGATGGACATAAATGAAAAATTTATGTATAACTATACAAGTATCCTAACAAATTGATAAGTTATTATTGAAATACCTGTTTTATATTCGTTGCTACGAAAACAATGTATACACAGCATATTCCCAGTTGATACACTATCAAAAATCCATCTACGATTATTCTGCAAAAATAAGCAACAAAAAATGAGAGACATTAAACAATTGAATAATAACAGTTTCATGAAATTCATTGGATGATTATTTGTTTTAAGAATACTCTGGTTTTGGTAATTCATAAAATAAAAATTAAATTTTAGGTGTGTATGACCATTTCAGACTATATTCCCATCTTATTTTTTAGTGCCTCATATATACATCTCCATCTGTCAAAATTTGTTTCATAACGCGGATCACTAATCAACTAATCGGTAAATTTTAAGTTCTATGTTAAAAACATAAATGAACCTGACAGGTTTTAACTGCTTTAGAAGAAAAAAAGTTTTTTTTCAGAATTCGTAAAGTTAGAAAAACACGTTTCTCTGTAAAAATAGTATGAAAAAAAATTTTCCATAAGAAAATGCATTAGTTGGGTTAATTTTTGGATAGATTTTTTTGTCATTATTATTTTTAAGGAGATTTATTATCACTGGCAAGGGGTAGACAGAGAGGTCCCAAATTTCGAGTTTTTAATTCTCGGGCGTGGTCTGTGTATTAATATTATAAAATTGATAATCTTTGAAAACATTTTTCAATAACTTTTTTTCAATGAATCAACTTGATTCAAATGTTTTACACACACTATGAGCAAGAGATAATTGGTTAGTGACTGCAGTTTTTGCAACATTTAACTGTTAATGTTATTTGAATGGTTAAATTCAAAAGATAATTTAGTTGTTCTCTATTAGAACTCGTGCAAAAATTTCATCAGTTTTTCGGTTCAGAGATTTTTTTATACATTTTTGTCCTAGTAAACAAAGTTACATTAAAAACTGACTGTTAATTTCATAAAGTTTAAATCTACGTTGTTACAAAATCAAAGGAAACTAGGGCTCATGTATTATTCGTTTAAATTATATTGCTGTACTTACGGTGAAATGTGAGCGAACCGCCTGAATACCGTGGGTCCCTGTTCCAGTGCCACTTTCATACTCTGGGGATAACTAAGAATAGGAACTTTGAGACGCTTGCAAAGCTCATACTGCGCTTTGACAAGAACATGAAGACAGTACGTACAAAGAATGCCTATGAGAACTGTTGCTATGGTTCCTGTGATAAGACCACTGTTGCAGAAGGCATTTGGCATTGCAAGTATGCCAGTGCCCAAGCTACCCTTTAGCATATGAATAAGCGTTTCAGCGTTCCTGATAAGAAAAGATTTGTTCTATGTTAATTGAATCCCTTCAAACTTTTCATGTGCGGATTTTTTCTGGTTTTAAATATTGTAGCCTTTATGATATAAATATTACATGATTTTTAGACCTATGTCCATTACATGGTAATATAAATTGAATTTTCCTTCAGTTATTTTTGACTAGGTCAATATTTTCATTGAAACTTGTTTAAGGAGGTTCCCTCGTGACAGTTCCCAAACCAAGATCAGATGAATTTAATAGTTAAAAATCTACTAAATCCAATGATATAATTATTTATATCGCTTACCCTGCGAAATTTCGAGATATTATTGATTTATTGTAGCGCTTTCTAACACGTATTCTTATGGTGGAGCTCACACACGCGATGAAAACAACTTAAAAACTCGAATACATCAACATTTCCCGTAATAAGAGCGCACACGTTTTGTAGAAAAAAACCTCCTCTTTCAAATGACGCCTAGCAAAGTAAGTGTTACCCTGGAGAATTTCGAGATATTCTATTAAAAATTGATCAAGTCATTGTATTTCCACAGGTTAACCTATGTTCTCTTGCGTCAGTGATGCCAACTATACTTGAGTTTGCGAGCAAATTTTTGACCTACGACCAGGGTTGGAATTTCTGCACGAGGGAGCCTCCTTAAATGATGTCTAATTCATATTTTACATTATGTATCTAATAAGAGTCTTGTATACTGTTTATAAATTTTTATAGGTTAAAGCTTTTGCATCTTTAAACAAATAATGATAGCCAATAATATAACAATTGAAAACGTTTTTGTAAACCATTTATATCATTTAATTTTTAGCTGTTATATAATCCAATTGATTTTTTCGTTTAAAATCGAGACCATGAAAATAATAAATTATTAAACCAATTATGTTTTGCTTCTCAAATTTTCTGACATGAATTAGAAAAGAATGTACAGACTTAAATATTTTTAAGGTATCGAAATATTGTTAGTTCATTTACTTACGTTGTAGGATGCGGCCTGTTTCGATGTTCATGAGGATTATAATCTTGTGCTTCTACGTTCAATGGCGTTGTAGGATTGCTCTCTCTAGAAAAAAAATTTTTTTTACATAAAAAATTGTGGTGATAATTTATTAAGTCCCCTTATGTCAGTACAATAAGAGTGATAGGCATATTTGATTTATAAATTTACATTAATGGGTCCCATGATGTGTCAGGGCAATCAAAAGTGTGATGGAGTAAGGAGGTTTCAAAGGCAAATAATTACATGCTTCCGATTTATAATAACACGAGTATTTACAGCCCTAAAAATGTCCTAACAAAAATAAGTTTTTGAAGTCCATGCGTAAAGATTAAAAGTGTACGGGTGTTAGCTAAGAAATAATAACAAAATTTGTTTTATTTACATCCATGACTTTTTATTCAGTTAATAAGGTATAATACTGAATACAATTAATATTAAAAGTTTATTTAATAGGCATTTTATAAATATATTAATTATCAATGCCATAAAAAGAATCAAAGAATTTTAATTAAGGTAGAGGACCCAATACTCGATCACTCTACACAATTTTGAGGTTTTTCTGACCAAGGAAAGAAAATAAGCATGAAAATTTAGCACTGTGGTTGTTGGACAGCATAAACAAACTACTTAACTTTTCAATAATACAAATAAAAGAGGATTTCCTTCTAAAACGTTAAAGGTTTTATAAATGTACCTTTCGTACCTAAAAGTCGATCACATAAAACTGGGTGGAACCAACACTCGATCAGTTCAGACGTCAATACTCGATCAGAAAAATAAAATATAATCAATTAATTTATATCCATACTACAATTTGAATTAAATTTAAATACTTTTACATCTCAGTTATTTAATTTATAAAGGGAAATTTTTTTTTATTAGCTTGTTTTGTGTGATATTCATAATATTACTCATAAATACGGGACTGGTCGAGTGTTGGGTCCGCTACCTCATATGCTAAAAGTAATAGTAATACCCATTAAAAACCTTTTAAACTATTAAAATTTCTCAAAACTTTTTCATATATTGGTTGTAGTGACTCTCATAGGAGCTTCTAAATGTTTTTTTATTTATTATTCCCTTGCCTTCAATCTTTATTAGTAAATGTATTTCACGTAAAACTTTGACCTTACAAAATTGTACTAGTGATTGATGCCCTCTTATCTGTATAGGCTTCGCTTCTTACTACTTTGCAAAGATTACTAGTCAATCATTTCATATTTTTCAGGTAACGAATGGATACCTTTTCATTGTTGGTCTTACTTGTAAGAATAAGGTATAGTTTTATAGGATTTCAGTCGTATAACTTTTAGTATTTTTGTTGTACTCCTCTAATTAAAATGAATGGACACTATTAGAAAAGGGTTTTTTGAATTTAATAAAAATGGTTAAGATACAGATTTAATGACCATTATGAAGCAAAATTTATGAAAAATTATAAAAATTAATACTTTAACTTACAGAATTTAATGCTATGTTCCATGAAATTTCATATTTTTCTATGAAATATTATAACAACGTATATTAACTTGTTTTAAGAATCGAAACTATAAAAAATGCCATATTAGGGTGCTCCTTAGTTCCTGATTTAGGTGCTAGTCATTCCTTGTACAGAAAACATACTTATTTTTGTATAACTTTTTTCTTGTGCCTTTCAAAGGCAAAGCTTCAAAAATAGGATTTGAAGAGCATGGTTAAATCTACGAAATAGACTTCATTGGATAGCTTAATTGGAACAGTTTTGATCGTGTTCAGTGAGTGCAATTAAAAATTCGAGGGCAGGCACTCTATTCGATAAAATTTTACATATTTTTCATTGAACTGGAATTGCATTGTTTATTATTTTACTGAGAGACAAAAAGAAATAAAAGCATTAGGAGTTATTATTTACAAGGTTTGATTTTAAAATATTTCATCGTTCCGAAAAAAACTGAGGTGTCAGAGTTACCTCATAAACCAGTAATACCCCGGTTTTTCCTACTAAAACTATAAAATTCGTACCCTGAAAATCTAAAAATTTTTGAATGAACACGTGCCACTAGTCACATTTTTCTTCAGCTTTCAGTATTTTTTCTGGACTTTTAAACCATCAAACTGTATTATACATTGCTTGAATATATTACACAAGTTTTTTGAGCATAAACGGGGTATGAGAAAAAAATTTTATATTTTGGTTGATTTTTTTTCTTTTTAAGGCACCGAAGATGATCATATATATAATTTATTTTTACAGGCTACATAATTGAGAATCAAAATCGGCATACAATAGACACTACTACACGTGGGGCACTAGTGGTAAGCATCAGCACTCTTAGTTGGACGTTACATTTGGATATAGTTTTTTCAGTGTGATGTCATGTGGTGAAATACCTAAAAAACAGTTATTCCAGATCATGAAATGATAATTTTTTATTCACACATATTTTTAATTTCGATTTATACGATGGTTTTAGCTATATCCATCGGATCCTGAGATGGATTTTTTCTCTCAGGATTCAAATATGTGTTATTATAATATGAATATAATAATGAATCTAATAATATATGTTTGGGCAATGCTTAACGACTTCTTATTTGAAGTACAATGTCAATGTTTCTAAAAGTTCCCAAAAGTAAAAAAATATTTTGTTGACTTACTTATCCATGTCTGGTATCCGCTGCATATTTAGAGTTTCTCCATTTCTGTTCTTCATGACTGTAGTTCACTTCAATAATACTTATTTGTGCTACCTGAAATATGTATTTGTATCTGTTATTCATTACTCATGCAAATATATATTAAACTTGATTGTTTATAATAAATACATGTCTACATCTTAGAAACTCGGTATTTTCCAATTGTTAGACAAGTAAAAGTTGCTTTTTTTTTGCTCAGCAAAATTTACTAAGAATTTAATGTTTAATGGTACTAGGGCACAAAGTACAAACATTAGCGCCGCAGGGTGGTACCCAAGTTGCGTATAATATTTTTCCTATTGAGGGTAAACATTGCTATTTTGCACCCGTGGGTACACTTTGCACCCAGTAAATCACTTTGGGCCGTAGGGCAGAAGAAACTCAAAAACAAAATAAAATTGATGGGGTGCAAGAATACTTTTTCGTAGAAAATTATGTTTCCAATAAAAAGATGTTGATTTTTAATACGAAAAAAATAAACAAAACAAAAGTGAAAATTTTCGGTGATATAGAATTCGTTTTTTAGATTTGACCGTTTTGGCTTGGTTTTATTTATTTTTTTTTTTTAATCTCAAGATAGTTTTACTCATGATTAAGGAGCAACCCTTCGCAAGGACTGCAAAATGTATTGCAAGTATTCCTATATGAATATTGACAGCTGATTCGCCAAAAAAAATTCTAAAATCTCTCTTAGAAGGACCATTCAATTAACATAAAGATGCCAGTTTCTCACGCATACGGAAAGGTAAAAAAGACGTAAAATAGCTTAAGAGAGTTCAATCGGTTACAGAATTAACAATGATCAATTTTGCTTACGAATTAATAAAGTCATAAAAATGACGCTGTATTTTTTTTGTTTGTCGTAGCATATTTAATTCTCTATTTGTTTGGTTATTTAATGAATATATTGTTTTACAGGTCTTCTTTCTTAACTTCGATACCTTCAGTTTTTTCTAATTCGCGAATATGTGTTCGAGAGATGACTTTTGAGAAGCTTTAACGCTAAATATATGATATGCATTTATGCCATTTTCTCAATTTTTTTATTTTTTAAACCATTTTCCAATCTATTATCAAAACCAACTTCGCAAAGAAAATGTGTTCAGCCAACGTGCAAAATTTTTTTTTTTTTTTCAATAAAATCAGAAAAAATAATTTTTTTTTTTAAACCATCGGTTTTTTTAAAACTTTTAAATACATGGTTCAGCTTTTGAAAATTTTTATAGACTTATACGGTTATGTTTATTAACATGTTTGTTTGTGGTGATGTTTATTTCATCTGGCACATATTTTACGCGATTATGGTGCAAACGTAAAGGAAAAAAACCAGGTGTGAGTCTCGGGACCGCCGGCAGAAGTGAAACTTCCAACTCAAATGTTATTAAGCTCAGTGTAATAGAAACTGAGAAAATTAGATTACACCTAATTTCAATAGATATTTAAGAATTCCATATTAAAATAGTTAA